GAATGACTTCCTTCAGCTTCCTATTTTGAAGTCTTTGATTGATGGTACAGCTACAAAAAAAACTGTAGGAATTTAACCCTAGAAAGATAGTCTGCGTAAAATTGACGCATTTATTTTTTCATTTGTATATAAATATACAGTGTTTATTAAACATGAAAATTCAATGAGTTATGGTTATTCTTTGGACTATTCTAAGAATATTTTTTATACGTTGATAATTTTTGAAAACCCGATTTACTTCGAAGATACAGCATAATCAAAGATTTCAACATTTTATTACTAAAAATTACAAATATAAGCTTCCTAATTTACAATAACTGTTGAAAATGACCACCTCCAGCTAAGATACAAGAATCCAAGCTTCTCCTCATTGACCGCCGAACCCTTTCGAAAACACCACGATCGTTTCTTATTGAAGCAGTGAAGCAGAAGATACGATTTCGCAAGTCTTCCACATTTTCTACTGAAGTAAACTCCTGGACAAAATTAACGCACCACTTACAGTTTTCCAGCATTTTTTAATTAATGATAAGTTGTAATTTACTAGCTTTACTGCTAGTAAGCTATGGATCTTCTTTGACATTTAAAACAAATATTGTCAAAGAATACCTTGTTTTTAAGGTTATAAACCGTAGTTAAAACCGCTTTTGATTAAAACACTGTTTTTTTTTAAGTTACGGTTTAGTCAATTTTCATCTACCAGTGCAAAAAATGAATCACCAAAGAAATTTATCGGTGGAAGAGGCAGTACGAGCATCAACTCTACTGGATGAGGGGTACTCGATGCGTTATGTTGCCAATGTGTTAGGAAGGAATCATTCCAGCATAATTTGTATGATTAGACGGTTTATGGAAACTGAATCTCACATTCGAAGATCAGGGCAAGGGCGAAAACGATGTACCAATCAAAGGGATGACCGTTTTCTGCGAGTATCCGCTCAAGCCGAATTAAAGAACAGGATACCAGCAAATAAACCATTATTTACTAGAGAGCACGAAGTTCAAAGATTGCGTTTTGCCCGAAATCACCAACATTGGTCTGTTAATGATTGGAAAAAGATTTTATTCTCTGACGAAACGAGGGTTAGCTTAAAATCTCCTGATGGACGTGAGCGTGTATGGCGAAGACAAGGAGAGAGATTTGCACGTTGTAACATTGCTCCAAGGGTGCCGTTTGGTGGCGGCTCTGTAATGTTTTTGGGAGCCATTTGCTTCGACGCTCGCACAGCGTGTAGTGCGTTGGTCCCTATACGTGCGAGTTCTATGAATGCGGATTATTACCTGGAAAACATCGTACTTTAACACGTAATGCCATTTGCTACTTTTTTGGGTCCTAATTTTATATTCATGCAAGATAATGTACAAGATAAAGTGGTGCGTTAATTTTGTCCAGGAGTTTACTATAAACTAAAGATTTACGATTGCCCCATAGAAACAAATCCAGGGGGTTTAAGTCCGGGGATCGGGCAGGCCACAAGTCAGTTCGACCTCGACCAATCCAGCGAACACCATATGTTACTGTCAAAAATTCACGAGCAACCTTACTAGAAAGCGCTAGCGCACCATCGTGCATAAACCACATTTAATTTCTTAATTCCAATGGTGCATCCTCTAGAAACTGATGTAACGTTTGTTCAAAACAGTTGCAATACACTCGCCAGTAAATCTTCTTGGTAGAAATACTGGTCCAACTAGCCAATTACCCACAATTCGAACCTTCAACGAGAACTGATGTTGAAAGCGTTCTTCACTTAGTTCATATGGATTATCATCAGTCCACACATGATTATTGTAATTCCTTATTGCATGCATTTCTTGAAAAATTCGCTTCATCAGTAAAAAGAATCAAACTGAGTAGTTGATGGATTTGAACCAATTTGTCCAAGATCCATTGACAGAATGCTAAACATGAACGAAAATCAGCAGGTACAAGTGCTTGAACACACTGTAAATAGTGGGTACAACAAATAATTTTTAAGAATTTTCCAAACAGTCCCATTACTTACATTTAAAGTATTTGCAATTATTCGAGTAGAAATGCCTGGTTCTTCCTCTATTATGTTCAACACATTCTCTTCTAGTTCTACCGTTCTGACTGTTATTGACCTGCCTGATCCTCCACTACGTTTCAATGAGCCTGTTTCATGAAGACGTTGATGAATAATTTAGAAGATTTTTCAATCAGGAATATTACGGTGGCGAAATCGGTCAATGCAGCTTTCAATGAATTACCATCAACCAGCCCATAAATAAAATGCATGTCAGTCATCTCGGCGTTCGTATAGCGATTCATCATAGAGGACTTCATTAATAATAGTTAATAAAGTAATACTAAAAATATATATATATAAGCAAACGTCACTCAGTCTCGGCAAATTCAACAGTCGTCAATCGAGAGATGTATTCAATTAAAATAACAAAATATTAATAATGAATGAACTGTATTTGTTTTCAACAGACTTAGTAATCGGAATGTTGTTAAAAGATACTTTTATTTCGGCTACATTAGTAACTTTAAAAATATCAAAAATTTTATTTTGCTATATCTTTGAAAAAAAGTGGATTTCCAAAAATCATTAAATTACAAAATATTCTTAGAATAGCAAAAGAATAACCCCTTGAATTTTTGCCACAGGTGTAATAAACATCCTTTATAATAAAGATTGGTTTATTCTAAAACTTGAGATTAAAGTTAGGTAAAGCTCACGGATCAATTTTACGCATGACTATCTTTTTCGTACATCACAATATAATTATCTTTCTAGAGTTAAATGGATGAAAAGAAGGTCATTGAACAGCTTTTTGTAAGAAGTGTAAATTGCTCGCTAGTCACAGTAACGAAGTAAGTAAAAAAATAAGGCCTCACAATGTACACAAAAGAAATCTATTGGGTAAATTAAGTTTCCTGTTTCAATCCTTAATAATTATCAAGAGATCGTTGCAATACTAAATCCAACCTAACCCAACCCAACCGTGACTTTAGGCCGCAGGTCTGCAGCAACATCATCGGAAATTTCATGGAAAGAGTACTTACTCTTGATACTCAACGATCTCTTGATAATTATTAAGGATTGAAACAGGAAACTTAATTTACCCAATAGATTTCTTTTGTGTACATTGTGTATTCAGAACCGGAACATATCTACTTTATATTCCCATAAAAATATCTAACCAGCGCTAACTTTTCTAATCCCGTTTTAGTACTTTTCAAAAACTCATAGTAAACACATAGTACTCGCCACATAGTCCAAGTTCTGAATGATCTTAATGCTCTTTGATCTTAGCTACTTTTTTACCTTTTGCTTTGAAAAAAAACGCTAGAGAACGGCGACATATTCGGCGATTATAATACTTTTGCTTTTGTTGGCGGTATTCTGTATGAGCTTTCTCGCCTTCAATTTCAAATTAACTCCAAAGCATCCCTGTTTATGTTATCTTGCCATCGTGTTCGAGGTCTTCCCCTTGGTCGTTTGTGGCCAGTTGACCTATCATTACTCTTTTATGAACCCTTCTTTCATCCATTCGTTACACCTGTCCCACCCACTGAAGTCTTCATATATTTACAAATCTCACAATATCTAGGTCCTTGTATATCTTCCCTACTTCGTGGCTATATCGAATTCTCCAACCGTCGCCTTCGTTTATTGGATCAAGACTTTCCTTAATACTGAGATTTCCTTCCATTCAAATACTGCTAAAATTTCGTACTAGCCTTTGTGCTGTCTTCAATCCCATAACTTTGGATTTTATCTTCATTCCTTGTTTGGATCTTCCCATTATGATGATGTCATCTGCGTATGCTATTAATCGCCTCTCTTTAATACTAATGGTACCATTCTGGTCAATTTGCAACTCATTAATGACTTTCTCTAGCGCTATGTTAAACAATATGAGAGCGAATCTATCACCTTGTATGCCATCTAAGCACTGGTTTACCCGCGATAAAATTCTACTCAGACTTTCAGAACATAATCCAAAACAAAATAGGATAACTGCTCATACATATATTATTTAAAGGATCTTTTATAAAAGTAACTTTGTTTACAAAGCTTTCAAAAAAATACTTACCTTGTCAGGGTAAATATTGAGCCATATTTGGTGAATCACAAACTAACACTGCACAACCCAATTAATACGTAACAAACTGTTTGTCACGACACAATGGGCACGTTCAGCCGGTGTCAACTGTTGAGTTGCTATATTAGCAGTGGCGGCTGAACGATACGCTAAGTAAGCGCTGTTACGTACCAGTTTAGTAAATATCTCAGCATAAGTAATCGGCGCTTAGTTTGTCAGTAGTTGTGAAATTCTAGGTTAGGATTAACATTTTTTGTTTCTCTCCTTTAATTTTGAAAACTGACAAAACTGTATAAAAATGAATATTATTAATGCAGAAACGCATCATCCACTATCTCTTGTAATAGCACAAAATTTTCAAAAATATTATTGTTGGCCATACTTTTAGGTTATGCAGAATCGCTAATTCTCAATTGCTTGTTCAGCCGATTTCGTTCCGCTGTGTTAAAGCTCCTACAATTAGCTGACTGATTTAATTCAACTGTTGATACCTGCCGAACGTACCCATTGAAATACTGTTAAAATCAGTGAAAATATAGCAGCCTGAAAAATGTCACGTGACAAACAGTTTGAGGTGTATTATTTTTTTAGGTTAAAAGTATGTTGAAAGAACAAAAATCCACTTAAAGCTTCAAATTAAACCAAAACCTTTAAACTTAGCATGTTTCAGTACCTACAGTTACAATAAGTGTCTTAGGAAAACAGACTGTATGTTTAAAACAGATCACATATACACAAATAATATTTGTAAAGTGTTTTCAAATAGTTTAGGTGCACTATATCGCATTCACCAAACACCATTTATATCTACATGAACAAAATTATAACCTATTATACCAAAAAAACATTTTTTGGATGTTATATTTAAAAATTTAATAAACAAAACACAAAAACACAGTTATTAAAATCAAAAAGAAACTTACCTTAAGCTTTGTATGTAAAAGATCCAAAGCAGGAGTTAATCGATTGGACAACACAACATATTCTGAATTTTTAACCCCCGCATCGCTATTTTTACAGGCCAGCTGCCATAAATTGCACGCAATCACTAAACTTCTGAAACCAATAAAGTCCTTAAACAAACCGTAACATTTTTGTATTTTTCACTTACTTTATTGCAATCGGGGAATGAGCATCTTGACTCAACTGAAATAATTTGCCCAAAACACCGAATCCATTCACATTTTGGAATACTAAGAGATCATCATTTCCACCTTTCGTTAATAATCGAGATAATTCATTCAAAATTCGATCTAATTGACTAGATGTCGCTGCCGACCAACCTTGAGGGGCTTGATTGGTAATACTGGATATTGTGTTTATATTACGATTATAATTTTTTTTATTGGCACAATCAATATCTTTCTTTTTATAAGCCGTTTCGAATTCAGCCCCTTTTAAAGCCATTCTTTGCCGGATTTTCTTACATCGTTTTCGATGGGTTTTCCCCCGTTCTTTCGCAGCTGTTTCTTTGGGATCTTCTTTATCGACGGGAGCATCTACAATATTTTTAAGATTGTATTCTTCTAATTCTTGTTCGGTTAAAATGTTTTGGTTGTTTTGTTTAATTAATTCTTGATGTAATCGCCCGCGAAGATGACTCATCAAATAAACTTCGGATTTAATAAAAACGTTACAAGTTGTACATATTTTAGGCGTTGTATAAGGAGTGATATTAGGGGCTTGATTATCTTCAGTGTAACATCGATGTATTGATAATTCCAATGCTCTTTGTCGAATTTGTTCCATATTTTCTTCGTGCCTTCTCGCAGATTCTTCTTGTTTTTGAACAATTCGTTTTTGAAGTTCTTGGGTTGAAGCTAATTGTTGGGCATGTAATGCGGAGAGTCGTTCTTCGCGATCCCTAGCTTTTTCTCGCGCTAATTCCTGTCGTTCTCGTTCTCTTTGTTGTTGTTGTTGCCCAATTCTTTCATCCCTTTGTTTCCTTTCGGATTGCATCCTATCTAATTTTTCTAATCTTTCCTTTTCTAAAGCTTTCCTCCGTTCTTCGACTGCGGCTTCTTTGAGCGCTTTCTCAACTTTTCTTTTTTTCCGATCTTCGTGAATTACTTGAATCCTCCCGCGTTGTTCACGCCAAGAAACCATAAAGTCGTGTCGTTTATTTTGCGCTTCTAATTCGTTGATAAAAGCGATTTCTTTTAATTTTTCCTCTTCGTTATGAGCCTTTCTAACGATTCCTTTAAGATGGCGATTTCTGTTTTGTGCGGCGCGTTGTAATCGGATTTCCATTCTTTTGCGTTTTTCCTCGATTAATTGTAATTTTGCAGCTTTTACATCTTGAACTCTAGCTAATAAAGTTTGAAGTTTATTGGCTTTTTCTTGTTGGAGATCTTGCCTTCGTTGTTGTGCCTTCATTTGCTTCGCTTGATATCTTCTTATTGTTTCTGATAATGAAATTTTTCGAGATGGATTTGATAATTTTTGGTGTAATTCGAGCGCTCTTCCGGGATGTCTTGCAACTAAAGCTTTTAACGTTTCTAAAATATCAACTCTTTCACCCCAAGACATTTCTGCTAGCATTGGCTCATATCGAGTTTCCAAAGATATATCATCGTCGTCGATTGACGCATTAATTTGGGATGACTCTTGTAATTCGCAATCTGTTTCGGTTTCGGTTCCATCGGTTTCTGTATCAACCTCAATTTCTAATCCTTGTAATTTTTCGATTTCTTTGTTTAAACGCTCTTCTTCTTCGGTTAATTGTTTGGCTTTCTTGCGATGCTCTTCTTCGCAAACTAAATCGAAATCGGAATCTTTTTCTTTCATTTTGGTTTCATCGTCGGTTTCAGAATCGACTAATTCCATACTTTTTTTACGTTTATTTTCAAACTTTTCGCGCTCCGTCGATTTTTTTAAATTTAAATTTGTTTTGCTTTTTTCGGGCATTTTTCTGGGTGTTAAATCATTTTTGGGAATTGTTACTTTGCTTAAAGTTGTATGGGATCGAAGCATTTGAGGTCGCTTTTTAACAGTTTCTTTTGAAATTTCTTCTTTTTCTTGATTTTTTTCTCTTGGTGACGAGATTTTTGAAGTTATGTTTTCTATATTATTATTTTCTGGTAATAAAGCTAAAGCTGGCAGACTCGCTGTGGCGGTAATCTGATGAAATCTTGTTGCCCAAGATAAAACAGTATCAGATTTTCGATTACCACCTTTTCCATTATTATTATTTCTGAATCTTGATCTTCGAACTGTTAGCCAACCATCAGTTGTTAAATTTTCTTTTTTATTATTTTCGTTACTTAAAGTTTCTACAGAACTTGTTATACTATTGCTAGTTTCAGTTAAATTAACATCTTTTATATTTTGATTTACTAAAGTTTCAACTGAGCTTCCAAAATCATTCGTTTTATTCACTTTTGAAGATAACGCCGAAGTAGACTGATTATTTTTAACCAAATTTGAACTTCGCACACTTTTTTTTTCTGGTAATTTTATATTATTTATTGCATTTTTAGCAACAATCGGATCCGGCCGTGTACTCAATCTAAACATTGGCCTTGATCCTGGTTTATTAACACTTTGCTTAATATCTCCAATAGTTTTACTTCTTGATAATTGAGGATTTTCTACGTTATTATGAGGTAAAGTACGCGATGAAAGTGCTTTTGGTTTGTTAATTCTCTGTTGTTGGACAATTGGAGTCGATGAGGACTTTGAAATTGTTTCTGTTTTAGCCACTTTAACAGCCTTAACAGAAACACTTCGACTTAAAGCGGTGGAATAAGCTGGTCTTGGAGTTATTGGCGTTGATTTAATCGATTTCGATTCTAATTTTGTATCCAATTTTGATTTTGTGGGTGAAACCTTTCTTTCCTCCTCTGTTTGACATTCTTGACTCACTTTAACGACATTAAAACGTTTTGTTGGGGGTAATTTAGGGAAATCATCCTCTGTACTTGTTCCTTTTTCAGCACTTTGTACCCCAACCTTCCGAAATATGTCATAAGTTCTTTGATCTTCACTTGGAGAATCAACATGTTTTACTTCATCAATTACAACCACTTTTATTTCCTCAGATTTTATTTCTGATGTAGTTGAGGTTATGTTTGATGAATCTTTTTCAATTTCATTTTCTAAAACAACTGATTCATTTAAAATATTTTTAATTTCTTTACTGTTTACAGTTGAATTATCTAAATTTTCTGTATTTTCTTTTCCTGCTTGAATTTGATTTTTCAAGGATGCCGGTTTAGGACTTATTTTCCCAGTAACATTTGGACTGGCTCTTCCAGATCCAACTGGAGTTGATTTCCCTGATTTTGATGTTTTAGTCAAATTAGTTTTGCAAATATCCCAAGCTAAAGATGTTGGACGTTGAGGAAGTGGGGTATTTTCATATTCCCATTTTAATCTAAACCATTCAGCTAATCCATTAAAGTCTCTTAAATAATTTTCAAGAACTAAAATTACTTCTTGACATTCAGTTAAGCTTTCATGAGTTTCCACTGTGTTATAAATTTCAACAACCTGAAATTAAAAAGAAATCATTAAAAATTACTCAGATTAAATTAAATTTAATTCATTTTGTTTAAGTTGGTATTAATTATTAATTCATTAAGTGACAGCTCATAACAAATAAATCAAAAATTAACAAAAATAACTTATGTTATATCAAAATAGTTGATAAATTTCAACAACCTAAAATTAAAAAGAAATCATTAAAAATTCCTCAGATTAAATTAAATTTAATTCATTTTGTTTAAGTTGGTATTAATTATTAATTCATTAAGTGACAGCTCATAACAAATAAATCAAAAATTAACAAAAATAACTTATGTTATATCAAAATAGTTCATATTAACGTTACTTATCAATAATAAATAAAAGCTTTGAATTGTTAAAGCACTAAATAAAAAAATTTTTTTGACAAATTAAATGTCAAAGTGACAAGATATTTTTCTTAATTGTCATTATTTTTTTAAAAAAGAATTTAGATTTAATCTTACAGATCTTTGAAGATTTTCAAATAACAAGGCCCAATATCTTGCTCTCAACTCCGATTTTTTATCCCTCCCGGTGGAAGCCGATCGAATCCTAGCTCCAGTTCTTCCCAACAAAGTCCTCGAGGTAGCCTTTCCAGATCTCCTCCCCTCACTTATTCTTGGAAAACAAGGTGGTTTTCGAGAAACTTTACCTTAATTAGAAACAAAAACAACCCATCAAAAACCATCTGTCAAACTCAAAAAAATAAATCTTACCATTTCTCAAATTATCACCTACGGTAATGTTAAAGGCTAAAAGGTTCCTTGCCTCTCGACCTTCCTCTTGGACTAAAAGCTTCACTTCTTCCATGACGAATACTTACCTTACTATTTTTCTTTATGACTCGACGAAGGTTAATAAAATTTTCCGGCGACGACCTTCGACAAGGAATCGGCGTTCTTTTTCGGATCCTTTACGAAAGGAAATCGAACGAACGCTGACACGTCGAAAAACACATGCTTTGAGCGCAATTTTTTATGGTCTATTTGTGTGTTGGTTAAGTTTTGCTTGTTTTGACAGTTGTACAAAAAAACCGTGTTGATTTTTGACGTTGACGTTTAATGATTAGATTTTTTGAACATTCATAGCGAAATTAAGTTGCATAGTTAAATTTATTTTAATAATTCTCAGAAAATAAGTTTATTACTACAATCGACGTTTTAATTACATTTTAATCACTGTAAGAGAATTAAAACATTTGGATGATTTTATATTTAAGAATTAGGTTTTTTAAACATTAATTGTTGAAATGAAAATAGTAAGAATTTAGAATAAATTAATGTTTTTATTGATTATGTGTGTTAATTGTTGTTGTTTAGGCACACATTAATTAATATTAAAAAATAAATTTTTATAGTTTCTTTTAATAATTGATGTCATTTGGGTTGCCTATAATAAATATAACAATGTTTAAACTTATATAAACAAATTTATGGACGTGGTAGTAGTAATTATACTCAATTAAATGTAATCGTTTGTATTTAAATTTGTTACGTTATATTGTAATAAATAACAGCAGCAATTTATTTAATTGAAGGTTATTGAGTAGTGTTGTTCAAAAAAAATTAAAATTTTTTTATAATTTAAAAGTTTTTATTTGTTTAATAAAATGTCTGTTAATAGGCAGTATTTTTAATAGCATATATAAAGTGTATTGAATTCCCCAACAAAAAAGTTGATAAACATTTTTATTTATTTACCACCAATATCCACCAGTTCTGCGATTTCCACCATAATTAGGACTTCTTCTTCCATAACCACCTCCTCCCATTCCAGTTCCATATCCACCTAATCCTCCTAATCCACCATATCCACCATATCCCCCATAACCTCCATAACCCAAGTAACTTCCTCCTAAAAATTCTCCATAATATCCTCCTCCTAAACCACCATAATATCCTCCTAATCCACCCAATCCGCCTAATCCTCCCAATCCACCATAATCATCTCTTTTAGATATTTGCTCAGCTGGATATGACCAAGCAATGGCAAAAAATAAGGTGGTGCAAAGGAAAATCTATAAATACTTGATGATAAAGATTTTTTTTTTATAATATTTTATATTTTTTACCTTTAACATGATGAATATTTTGTTATTATTTGTATATTTGTCAAGAGTAGTTTGATACTGATACAAGTTGTTATGATTTCGTATGGAGTTTTGTTTTGTATTTATAGTAAAACGTGCCCTTCTACATGTTAAATTAAATTAAGGTGTAATTTGAAAAACGGAATTTTTATAAAGAAAAACTTGTCGTATGGTGATAGACAAACAACAGTAAATCATCGACGATCAAAGGTTTAGGTGTTCAACTACCGTTGATATTGAAATTAAAAGTTACATTGAAAAGTGTTATTGAAATTTATTTTGTTTACAATTATTATATAGCAGTGGTGTCCACTAATTTTTGATCAAGATCGACTTTTTATATAAATGTCTTAAATCGACCGAAGGGTTTAAAATCTTTTTTTATATTTTAAAACTAACCTTCCTTTTTTTGGCTCTGAGGTCCAGATATAGATATTTCAGATTCAAATTTTGTTGGCGATCGACTCAAAACGGCTTCGCGATCGACGTTATGGACACCACTGTTATATAGTATCATATCTCACAATCAGTTATAATATTAATAATAAATGTTTATAAGGATTGATTGGGCACATTTTTAAACAAAGGTCTTGTTTGATTAAATTCGATGTAATTTCTTTATGATTTCATTCTTAGAATAACATTTCTTTGCAATACGCTTTAAATTTAGCAAAATTTAGTTTTTTTACAAGAACATTCAGTATCAACAAACTTTTTTATTATTTTGTTAGTATAGCAAAGTTCCTTCCATAATTAAGTTTTTACAATTTGATTCAAATTCCCCAGCTTTAAAACATTTCCATAATTTGGATATCAACCTTTTGCATTTAGATGTGATTTGTGTTTCATTGTTTCAATATGTTTTGCTATAGAAGATCGTCCACTACAAATCTTACATTTTACCAAGAAATCATCATTTTTGTTCTTATTTTCGATAATAAATAGAGCTCATAAATTTTCGTTAGAATGAGTTTTACGTTTTTTTTTCTCTTCTTTTCTTTGCCCTCTAGTCTTTGCCAAAAGATAATGTCAATGTAACTGTACTATCTAACTTTTCTTCTGTTTTACCATTTGAAACTGATAGAAGATATATTATGATGATATGAAAAGTAAAAAAATATATCTTCGTGACAACGCATGGAAATAACATATACTAATTTAAAACTATGAAAAGGCTCCAGTAATGGTTCAGTTAATATTTAGAAGTGCTATTGCAGAGATCTTCTGTTGGCTGAAGATTTGTCAATGGATTATGCCGATTCTGCACCTACTTCATCACGAACGTCACATTTATCATTTCCAAGTGCAAGACAGAAAAATCATATTCAGTCAAATATCAAAATGAGACGTCGTTGTAAAATATGCCATGTGCATAGTCCATTTATTTGTAAAAAATGCAATATGCATTTGCATCTAAAATGCTGCGATAAGTATGACAAACATTTATGAATCTGTATTTACTACAAGTTGAACTCAAATATGCCCATACAAATTTGTTGGTTGTTTATGAGTAGATGTTGAATTTATTTTGAAAAATACAAAGTTCAAGCCGTACTATATATAGTACGCTGGTCATTTAAGGAGTAACAAACCTAATTGTTAGTTTGTGTATGATACGAAAGGAAGCACTTCACGTGTAGGCGCTTTTCACACTTCAATCATCTAGTGATGGTCTTCTGATGACAATGAATGCATCTAGTTTGCTTATCTTGAGGTATGATGTAGTGGTCCCTGTGATCAAATCGAATATATATACCTTCATTGCGTGGCGTATGTCCTCTTGAGGAATGCTTCTATTTTTTATTCTGTAATAGCAGTGTGGTGGCAATTCTTTTTAGTATCATGAGTTCAGCAACGCAATTCATCTCCTCGCAAATACTACTTTCTAAAAAATTTTTATGTAGATGTTGGAATAAAGGCCTAATCTTTGCGAATTTCTCTCTTGCTTCTATTTTAGTAGTATCTGCAAGATGAAAATGGGACATAATATTCAAAATTATTTCGACTTATTGCTTCAGACACCAACACATTTTGACTGTCTCTTTCATACTCCTTCTTGGTGCTTGCATGTATCCACTGAGTAGTAGTACATCTATGAATGCTTTTATTACGATTACTTTCGATTACTATTAGATCCACTATTTCACATCAAAGAAAAGTGAAAATAGCTCCAAAGAGCTTATATGGCTGTCATTTTCATCAACTTGGCCATTAAAAATTATGTTATTAGGCTCCACGTCGTTATCCGTCCATTTATAACTTTTCCATTTTTCGTATTTTTTCTACTCTTGCTTTCTTTACTCTCAACACTGAAAGAGGAATTTCGTCGTCTGAAGAAATTTATTTCAACTGGAGCTTAAAGTTGTGGTCCAGGCAAATTATTTAGGTTTGTTGCATCCTCCTCTCCAGAATCTTCATCGGTTTGATCTCCGCAAGCATTCTCTGGTGGAAAAATGGCCAAAGAATCGACGTTTTCTACCAGTCTTAAATCAAAGCCTCGTTTAACGGGGAACCTCTAGAATAATACAAAAAATAAGAGCAACCCGAATGCCCACCGTCCAACATATAGTACACATTAGTGATGGAACGGATAGTGATTATGCGAAAAGCCGGATACCGGATATTCGGCATATCTATCCGGATATTATGGTTATAATTTCTGGTGCATTTCTGAAGTGATACCCTATTGCCACATTATTGCTATATTTGAATCAAAATTAATAAGAAAGTTGATAAGATATGTCAACTTATTTGGATCCAAGATACAAAATGAACTTTTTTGACAACTCTAAAACGAGGATACTTTAATTAATAATTGGCGATATTTCCACAAGGATTGCAACATCGAAAATTTTATCAAAACTTCAAATACTGTTTTCTCAAAAACTAAGTTATTTTTTCAAAACGGGTTGGTTCATTGGAAAGAGGGTACTTTTATTAACACTTTTTCATACTCATATTGTGTTATTTTTTCATGTGACGTTACTATTCGGAAAACCACCGTAATCAATTAAATACACCATTGTTTTCTGCAATATTTGCAGAGAAGAATTTTGTACTGCAGTTGGTGCCAGACCAGTTATAACGAATCACGTGAACACCAACACACATAAGCAATCATTAGATGCATCAGCTTCCAATAGCAAAGTAACAATTGTTTGAAACTTCTAATTATTTTAAAGATAAAAACAATTAACTACAATGCAGGGAACATTTGCATTTTCTCCTACAATTCACAATCAAAGTTTTTGTGTATGGATTGTACAACTAAATTATTGAAAAACTTCAATGCTTAAGTTTCATGTGTCAGAACAAAATGTGAGGCTATTATTAAATCAGTATTTAAAAATTATTGTTAAGTAAACTAAATGCAGCATTTGTAACGGTTTCATCTGATACATCAAATCATAATAAAACGAAATTGTATCTATCTAATGCTAATACTAAGGTAGCGGGTAGATACTCATCTATTACTTTGATAAATCCTTAGCTTTCCTATCGAAATCTGCAATTTCCTTTTCAATATCCCTTCCCTTCTTCCAACCTGCATGGCCAACGTGGAACAATATGGCCAAATACCTCACAAATGGCGAATTTTGAGAATAAAGGATATGGGCAAATCCCACCCCTCTACAAAGGGTAGTCTTATTAGATCTGGAGGAAGAAAAAATTTGTTATTTAGACCACAACACAACTTATAGATAGCTTCCTATAATACTAGAACTCTACTATGGGATCAAAAATTACTAGAAATGAAAGAAGAGGTCCATCGCGGATCTCTTCTGAAAGTCAGGACACCTATTTCAATTTATCGATACGAGGATGTATTGGCAGGAAGAGTAGGATTTATATTTCATAAGAAACACGTATCAGATATATTAGTCATTAAAGCAATTAGCCCTGATTTTGACAAACTAAATTCCAAATCATCTCCAAATCTCAAGGTTATAGAGACCTACGCTCCTACATCACGTTCAGAAGAAGAACTTGACCAATTCTATGATGATATTGATATGGCCCTGCAAGGACAGCGTGCTAACTACACACTTTTGACAAATGACCTTAATTCCAAACTGGGCACAAAACAAGACCAATCAGAAAATTTAATGGGCGATTAAAGTAGATTACAGTTTCCAACTTTTCACTTTGTTGGTTTCCATTGTTGATTGGTAATAGAAGAAAGAGATTAAACAGGATTTGGAAAAAAAAGAAAGAGCGTTGGTAATGAGAAAGGAAATATAAAAGATTCATCAAAGGAAAGACTAGACGTATGATGGCTAAAAAGAGACTGGCTTTGGCCGGATATTTGGTAACTATCTGGTATCCGGCCGGATTTTAAAAAATAGCCGGATAGGCCGGATACCGGATAGTTGCCGTATATCCATTCCACCACTAGTACATACACATAAAAAAATCACCATCGCATAGCAAACAAAAACAAAGACTAAAATTTTCTTTTCACCATATTTGTCTATTTTGACTTATTATTAGTCTCTTCTGTTAGAGTCATCAAAAAATTTCAACCAGAAAATGTATCGCGCCAAGATGGGTTAAAATTTTTTGTAATAATATCAAAAACTTTTCAATATAACTTCATTTAGTAAAAAAAAATAACAATATTCTTAATGAAAAGGAACCCCATTTCTGTAGGAAGACTTCAACGGGTTATCCGAATGCGGTGAAAATGTTTAAATTAAGAGAGCAATCGAAGTTTGCGGAATTCTTTTTAATTGATTTTCCCACAAACTCTAAATTACTTTAAAATCTATAATACAATCAGGAATTTTTTAAAAAGTCATTAAAATAATATTAAATAATTTTTTGAAATCTTGATAAACACTTCTAAAAATTAAACATCGCGGAATTTTCCAAGTTCAAATCTCAAATAACAAAAAAGAAATTTTGTAAACAACCAAACCCATTTTTTATGAAATTTAAATTAAAAATAAAAAAGAATAACAAAACCAATCAAGGTTAAATTGAATGATTTGTGGATTAGGTCAATATCATGTCATAAAAAGGTAAACAATTTGCGTCAAATTTAATAATTATTTGTTATGACCCGAGTCATTGAGAGGATATTCAAGGATATTTGTTTATCTTGCAATAAAAAAGTATTTAATGATTTAAATAATATGCAATCTTATTTGATGTTTTTTATTAAATAATAAAAACATAAATAACAACGAAATCATAAAGATTTCTTCTTGAAATTGATGTGTAACTTTTCTAGATAAACATAAAATAAATCATTTTTATGATCTACAAAAAGAAATAGATATAAATCTATTTACGCGAAGAAGTATAAAAT